CTGACGGTATCTTAGCTAACAACCCCAACTACCAGATTCAGCTTGTAATTGGCTAAAAATAACTTAGCCTACTGGTGAGAGGGACGTTGCTAGCTGGCAGTTTTTTCAAGAGATGTTGAAATTTCCACAATCCGACACTTCAAATGCTTCAGCATCTGCCCTCTCAGCACAGCATCAGCACCGTGGAAATACTCGGATACATCCGTAGACTCGAGACAGAATTCACTATGCATTTTCGGGACTTTCAGGCGTTTGGACCAATGTTTTCATTTCTGATCAAACTGGCTGAGTTAATGCCAGTTAATGTGACATCAAAATGCAGCTGATTGAACTGAAAAGCTCGACTCTGTGGGGTCAAAGTTTGCAGAACTACGAGCGCAGCTGGAACCCACAGCTGTGCGTATTCATGGAGCTGCATGTTCACCTGCTGGACATCACTACCTAACAAGTTTAACTGTCTTCAGAACATTGCAGAGGCCTTATTGACAGTATTTGGCTCTACATGTCTGTGTGAGCAGGTTTTTTCTTACATGAGTCCTCAGGCAGCCTCTGAATGCTGGACACTCGGAGACCAGTGTCTCTGAGTGGGAGACCAGAGATCACATTAACATGTGTGTCTCTGTATTAACAAACATGCCATATTGGCCCAGTTTTTTTGACTTACGGACCTGCAGCGGAGTTTGGGCCCAGACACGGGTAATGACGTCAGATTTAAAGACCGGATATAGAATCGTTATTGAAACGAATTAGCATGGAAAGAGATCTCAACCATTATTCATTTAAAGTAAAGCAACAAAAAAGAAAAACACAAACACAAATAATCCTTACAAATCTAGATTTACAGTATAATTCTGGAACCGATTCTCCAATGTCTTGAAAATCATGGCTGAAAATGTGGGATTACAATTGTTTTTCAACTGTAGCATCCTAACATCCTAGTCCTGTACAAAAGTCTTGAGCCACTCCTTATTTCTTTATATTATGATGGAAAATAGGAAATAGGTGTAATAATTTCCTGACACATGCAAACATAGTTGCAGTGGATTCACCATGCAGTGCCGTATGTTCATACTTCCATCCATTTTGGGAAAATCCCCAGGACCGCTGGCTGAACTGCAGCCTCAAACCATGGTTTACAGATGACTGTAGACACTCACTTTGTACCCCCCTCCTCTCACCTCCTCCACAGGTATTGATGATGATTTGAACCAAAAGTGTAAAATTTGCATTCATCGCTCCATCAGACCCACTACTACGGATTTTCAGTGTTAGTCGTGTGTATGTTGGCATCCCGCTGTCATTTACCTTTTCTTCTTCCTCTCTTTTCAGTTTCCCTTTCCTAAGAATTGCTTCTTGTCAGTCACCCATTGACACCATTTCTGAAGAGGCGATGGAAAATAGTTGATGCTTCATGCTTTTGAACGGACGCATCTATTGGGTCCTGCTATTTATTTATTTATTTATTATAGACAGTCGGTTTTGGAAGAGAAAATAAATGGGTCAGATACAAGGACTGGACTGAAAATGAATGAAAACGCAACCAATGTCCAAATAAAACCTTTAAATAGTCTCAGGAAGGCCAGTTGCCCAAGACCACTTTAATTTGAATGAAGTCTGTCTCCTTGGAAACAAAAAATAAAAAAAACGAGGGCCATTGAGTCAAAATTATAAAATATTTTATGGGGTCTTTTTTCGTTCTTTTTTTTCTTCACTAACCCTTCCTCATTCTATATGAGCTCTAATTATCCAAAAAGCATCTCTTCCACAGGCACAAACACCAGGACACATTTAAAAATTGATCCATATTTAACAGCAAAGCTCTCACCCTAGTTCTCAATGTTGATTTTAAAAGAAGCAGTCGTTCGACTGGGTTGTGGAGCTGCTTGTGGTATGTCGCTCCCTCAAGCACAAAGCGACTTCCACATCAAAATGTCACCAGCAACAACAGCTGCTGCTCCGGTGATAGTCCTTTAAAGTAAACTTTCCCCAACTCTCCTGAAAGCACACACATGCATTCACCCACAAAGTGTTTTTAATGAATAAGACAGTGTTGGGAGATGGGTAGGAGATGGAGGAATGTGAGGTTGGGTTTGTGCTAGTGTGTGTGATTGTGTATGTGTTAGGGAGGTGGCGGGGGGACACAAAGAGCTGATATTATAGGAAGAAATCTGTGTGGGAAAGACAGGCAGTCAAACTGTCAGGCGTGAGCGCTGAGACGGAACAAAGAAGAACAGTGGAGACGATTACAGTGGCGAAGCAGAGTGACAGAGGCATGGCGCACACTGATGAAGATGAAGGGAGAACGGGAATTACTCCACCACGCACAGATGCCAAATACACCAACAGAGACGCACACGCTCGATTGATCAATGCCAGAGAGGAGAAACATCCTGATACAAGGCCTCGTATTCTCATTAGGCCTTGTGGATGCAGAGTAATGACTTAAAACCACATACACACCACCCAAAATATTAGCAACCTCTTTTATAGTCCAAAGGTTTTTTTATACCTTTATTTTTAGTAAACATCTGCAGGCTGCTGAGGAAAACAGGAAATAAAACATAGCACAAAGTAAGCCAGTGGGCTGTAGCAGAGGAAGAACTAGTGCCAGCTAATGCAACAGAGGTGAAACAAATACCGTCTGTTAGACTGACTTGTTGTCTGACCGGCCACACAGCCACTCAGCCTCATTTATCAATGTCAGCTCCCTTTCAGATGCTTTAAAAAGCTTCTACTGCCATCTTCTGGAGGATGTCGCACAAGACAGTCCAACTTTAAAGACCCATCTTTGTGAGCCATATGTTGATCTTATATTAATGATATTATTTAATTTAACTAAATAATAATATATGCACATTTAATAAGTATATCTCACATTTCAAGAAAATCTAATAATCCACAAAAAGTCACAATCTGAAGACCCAGCTGATATTGTTTTAAAGAGGTCAAAAATATTCTTGTAAGGCTGATTTTAACTTTCTGATTTGCAATTTCTTTCACCTTTATACCAGCTTTACACTGGCTAAGAGTTGAACAGCAGTATCACAATGGCTGATGTAACCTCCATACAGTGGGGCAAAAAAGTATTTAGTCAGCCACCGATTGTGCAAGTTCCCCCACCTAAAATGATGACAGAGGTCAGTAATTTGCACCAGAG